TCATCATCACCACCATCATCATCATCATCAGCAGCAGCAGCAGCATCATCCCCATCATCCTCATCATCCTTATCGTCCTCATCATCACCATCATCATCAGCATCACCATCATCATCATCAGCAGCATCATCACCACCATCAGCATAATTACTCATTGCGCGGAGATCCCCTATATGTGCACCTTTTGTTTAAAGAGTCTCTGGTAGCCAAAGATGTTGAGACAGAAAACAATCAAACCGCTTGAGAGATCCCCACAAAACGACCGCGAACGGGACCGTGAAATCACCCCTGGCGGCTCCCATTGGGGGTGCTGAAACCAGCGCCCCGCAATTCTGAGTATGAGTTAGTCTGGGTATGAGTGAGTCTCAGCATGAGTAAGTCTGAGTAGGAGTAGATCCGAGTATGAGTAGGTCTGAGTATGAGTAAGCTTGTGTCTATTCGCATGGACCTGTCCGCCGTGAATGTCTAGGCGCAAGAGCTTTCGAATATAAACGGGCTTCAGTTGTGACGGTCTGGTCATGAATCTAACTAAGAATGAATTGGAGTGTGAATGAGCCTCAGTAGTACGAGCGCGTCTCTGCGCATGAGCCTGGGTCTTCCTGGGGCCTCCTGGGGCCTCCTGAAACCTCCTGGGGCTTCCTGGGGCCTCCAGGAGCCTCTTGGGGCCTCCTGGAGCCTCCTGGGACAGACATCCTAGGGAGGATTCGTGCCCCAGGAGAGGCCCAATCTATAGCAACAGACGTACATAAAACATTGCGGATTGGAGCCACAGGAGAAGGGGGCAATCTATAGGAACACACGTAAATCAACAAGGACTCGTGCCCCAGGAGAGGCCCTATAGGAACATACGTACACAGGAGAAGGACAATATGTGTGTATACATATATATATATATACACATATACACACACATACGTATAACATCAAGGATTCGTGCTCCAGGTGAGGCCCAATCGATAGGAGCATACGCCAACACACATGGGATTGGAGCCACTCCTGTTGCCTTCTGAGGCCTCCTGCTCCTGGGGCCTCTCGGGGCCTCCTGTTGCCTTCCGAGGCCTCCTGGCGCCTCCTATTGCCTCCTGGGGCCTCCTGTGGCTTCCTGAGGCCTCCCGGAGCTTCCTGGGGCCTCCTAGAGCGTCTTGGGACATCATGTGGCCTCTTGAGTCTTTCTGTGGCCTCCTGATGCCTCCTGGGACCTCATGTGGTCTCCTGGGGCCTCCTGGAGCCTACTGTGGCATCCTGAAGAGAATATGTGCCCACGAGTCTGGCCACCGATCGAAACATCATCAAAAACTGGCCCACCTGGGGGGTGAAAATGAGCGCCTCGCTCGAGACATCCTCCAAATCTGCTCCGAAAGCGAAGGATGTTGGGACAGAAAATAAGCAAACCGCTTGAGACATCCCCACGAAACGGCCGCGAACGGGACCGTGCAGTACCCCTCGGCGGCTCCCCCTAGGGACGTGAAAATGAGCGCCTCGCTCGAGACATCCTCCAAATCTGCTCCGAAAGCGAAGGATGCTGGGACAGAAAACAAGCAAACCGCTGGAGACATCCCACGAAACGGCCGCGAACGGGACCGTGCAGTACCACTCGGCGGCTCCCCTCAGGGACGTGAAAATGAGCGCCTCGCTCGAGACATCCTCCAAATCTGCTCCGAAAGCGAAGGATGCTGGGACAGAAAACAAGCAAACCGCTGGAGACATCCCCACAAAACGGCCGCGAACGGGACCGTGCAATACCACTCGGCGGCTCCCCGTAGGGACGTGAAAATGAGCGCCTCGCTCGAGACATCCTCCAAATCTGCTCCGAAAGCGAAGGATGCTGGGACAGAAAACAGGCAAACCGCTTGAGACATCCCCACAAAACGGCAGCGAACGGGACCGTGCAATACCCCTCGGCGGCTCCCCTTAGGGACGTGAAAATGAGCGCCTCGCTCGAGACATCCTCCAAATCTGCTCCGAAAGCGAAGGATGCTGGGACAGAAAACAAGCAAACTGCTTGAGACATCCACACACAACGGCCGCGAACGGGGCGTGCGTGAGTCTCAGCATGAGTAATTCTGAGTAGGAGTAGGTCTGAGTATGAGTAGGTTTGAGTATGAGTAGGTTTGAGTATGAGTAATTTTGTGTGTGAGTAAGTCTGTGTCTGAGTAAGTCTGAGTGTGAGTCAGTCTGTGTATGAGTAAGTCTGGGTATGATGAGGAGAGGGGAGGAGAAGAGGAAGGAGGAGTAGGAGGCGTCCAAGTAATAATTATTCACTGCGTGGAGCTCCCCATATGTGCATCTATTCGCATGGACCTGTCCGCCGAGAATGTCTAGGCGCAAGAGCTTTCGAATATAAACGGGCTTCAGTTGTGACGGTCTGGACATAAATCTAACTGCGAATGAATTGGAGTGTGAATGAGCCTCAGTAGTACGAGCGCGTCTCTGTGCATGAGCCTGGGGCCTCCTGGGGCCTCCTGAAACCTACTGGGGCTTCCTGGGGTCTCCAGGAGCCTCTTGGGGCCTCCTGGGACCTCCTAGGGAGGTTTCGTGCCCCAGGAGAGGCGCAATCTATAGCAACAGACGTACATAAAACATTGCGGATTAGAGCCACAGGAGAAGGGCAATCTATAGGAACACGCGTAAAACACCAAGGACTCGTGCCCCAGGAGAGGCCCAATATATAGGAACATAAGTAAAACATGTAGGATTGTGCACACAGGAGAAGGACAATATATAGAAACATACGTATAACATCAAAGAATCGTGCTCCAGGTGAGGCCCAATCGATAGGAGCATACGTAAAACACATGGGATTGGAGCCACTCCTGTTGCCTTCTGAGGCCTCCTGCTCCTGGGGCCTCTCGGGGCCTCCTGTTGCCTTCCGATGCCTCCTGGCGCTTCCTGTTGCCTCCTGGGGCCTCCTGTGGTTTCCTGAGGCCTTCTGGAGCTTCCTGGGGCCTCCTGGAGCCTCTTGGGACATCCTGTGGCCTCTTGAGTCTTTCTGTGGCCTCCTGATGCCTCCTGGGACCTCATGTGGTCTCCTGGGGCCTCCTGGAGCCTGTTGGAGCCTCCTGTGGCATCCTGAGAAGAATCTGCGCCCACGAGCCTGGCCATCAAAACAAGCAAACCGATCGAGACATCCTCAAAATCTGGCCCACCTGGGGGGTGACAGTGAGCGCCTCGCTCGAGACATCCTCCAAATCTGCTCCGAAAACGAAACATGTTGGAAGAGAAAATGGCCAAACCGCTCGAGACATCCCCACAAAATTCCGCGAACGGGACCCCGTGCAATACCCCCCCGCCGCTCCCCTTAGAGTGCTGAGACGAGCGAATCGCCTGAGACATCCTCCAAATCTACTCCGGAAGCGAAACATGTTGGAAGAGAAAATAGCCAAACCGCCTGAGACATCCCCACAAAATTCCGCGAACGGGACCCCGTGCAATACCCCCCCGCCGCTCCCCTTAGAGTGCTCAGACGAGCGAATCGCCTGAGACATCCTCCAAATCTGCTCCGAAAGCGACATCAGAATGATGAGTGAGTCTGAGTGGTGAGTGAGTCTGAGTGATAAGTGAGTGAGTCATGACTGAGTCCGAGTGATGAGTGGGTCTGAGTGATGAGTGAGTCTGACTGATGAGTGAGTCTGAGTGACGAGTGAGTCTGAGTGATGAGGGAGTCTGAGTGATGACTGGAAGGGAGGAGGAGGAGGAGGTTCCTCCGGGAGGTTCCTCCGGCGCGGTCCGCCAATAACAAGAACCCCATACTTAGGATATGGGGAACAAGAACCCCATGTTAGGATATGGGGAATAATCATAATCATAATCATCATCATCATCATCATCATCATCATCATCATCATCATCATCATCATCATCATCATCATCATCATCATCATCATCATCAGCATCAGCATCAGCATCAGCATCAGCGTCATCATCATTATCATCATCACCACCACCACCACCATGATCATCATCATCAGAATCATCATCAGAATCATCATCATCATCATCATCATCATCATCATCATCATCATCATCATCATCATCATTGCCATCATCATCATCACCATCATCACCACCAGCATCACCATCATCATCATCATCATCGTCATCATCACCATCATCATCATCATCATCAACATAATCATAACCAGCATCACCACCACCACCACCATCACCATCATCATCATCATCATCATCATCATCATCATCATCATCATAATCATCAGCAGCATCAGCATCAGCATCAGCATCATCATCATCATCATCATCATCATCATCATCATCATCATCATCATTATCATCATGATCATCATCATCATCCTCGTCATCATCATCACCAACAACAGCAATCAACAACACCATCACCAGCTTCCTCATCATCGTCATCCTCATCCTCATCATCATCCTGGAGCTCATCCTCATCCTCATCGTCATCCCTCCTCCTCCTCCTCCTCCTCCTCCCTCCCTCCGTCCCTCCCTCCCTCCCTCCCTCCCTCCCTCCCTCCCTCCCTCCCTCCGCTGGGAAGGGCGAGGCGACCGACGGCCGCGCCGCCGACTAGCTGGCTATGCGGCGCGCCCCCGGACCCCGGCTCCTCGGATCCAAGTGGGCGGGTTGGATCCGGGCCCCCCTCCTCCTCCTCCTCCTCCTCCTCCTCCTCCTCCTCCTCTCCTCCTCCTCCTCCTCCTCCTCCTCCTCGTCCTCGTCCTCGTCCTGGTCCTCCTCGTCCCTCCTCCTCCTCCTTCTCCTCCTTCTCCTCCGTCTCCTCCTCCTCCTCCTCCTCCTCCTCCTCCTCCTCCTCCTCCTCCTCCTCCCGGCCCCCGAGGATGCACGACTCGGGTGCGCCGTGAATCGGTCCAGAGCGGAGGCGCCAGCCAGTGACCACGGCGCAGCGCGGTGCAGCTCCGAGGGGCACGAGAGCGGGACACTGCAGCGCAGGGATAGAGCGTGCGTCGCGCCCGCCTCTGCTGCCCTTCGACGCGCACTTTTCTCAGGGCCGTCCCTGCTCATACTGCAGTCCAAACAGGCGGCTCCCCGGGGCTGGCTGCCCATGCGGCCATCCCTTCCCTCACTTCCGCCCCCCACCCCTCTCTTCCCGCCTCCCTTCCCCTCCTCCTCGTCTTCCCCCCTGTGATCCCCCTCGCGCTCTCCACAGGACTCCCCTTCTCCACCCTCCCGTCCCTCCCCTCCCCTCCCACCCTTCTTCACCTCATCTCGCCATCTCGCCTGCTTAACTTCACCCCTTCCCCTCCCCCGTCCGAGGACTCGTTCCTCCTCCTCCGCCTCCTCCTCCTCCTCCTCCTCCTCCTCCTCCTCCTCCTCCTCTCCTCCTCGCCCCGCCCCCTTCACCTCACCTCCTTCACTTCGCACTCCCATCCCCCCCGGCTCCCTCGCTCCCCATCCCGAGGATCCCTCGCCCCCCCATCCCTGCTCCTCCCCATCCCCGCAGCTCCCTCCTGGCGACGGGAGCCGCTCGGCTCGCCCCCTCCCTGGAGCGGGCAGAGCGCGAAGGGCAGGCGCTCAGCCGCGCCCGAAGGCGCCCGCGACGGTCTCGTCGGCCGGCGCCTCGCTCAGGAGCCGCCCGTCGGGCAGGACGGCGTCGGCCCGCGCGAGCCCGCGGCCCAGCCCGCCCGCGCGGCGCTCGGCCGCCAGCCCGTCGCGCACGACCGCGAGCAGCGTGCCGGGCGCCGCCCGGACCCGGCAGCGCTCCTCGCCGCCGAAGCTCACGAAGCGCACGGAGGCGCCGTCGAAGGAGGCCTGGAGGAGCAGCGTCGGCAGCGACGAGGGCGCCACGCACGTCACGCCCTCGGCCAGCGCAGGAAGGTCGCACTGGCCGCCGTTATCGTTGCGGCCGCAGGCCACGGCCGAGCCGTCGCTCCGGAGCAGGACGGTGTGCCATTCTCCGGCGGCGGCCTGCGTGTAGGCCAAGGCCCCTGTGAGCGCGGGAAGGTCGCACTGGCCGTCCTCGTTGCGGCCGCAGGCCACGGCCGAGCCGTCGCTCCGGAGCAGGACGGTGTGCCATTCTCCGGCGGCGACCTGCGTGTAGGCCAAGGCCCCGCGCGGCGCACCTGCGTGTAGGCCAAGGCGACCCGTGTAGGCCAAGCGCGGGAAGGTCGCACTGGCCGTCCTCGTTGCGGCCGCAGGCCACGGCCGAGCCGTCGCTCCGGAGCAGGACGGTGTGCCATTCTCCGGCGGCGACCTGCGTGTAGGCCAAGGCCCCTGTGAGCGCGGGAAGGTCGCACTGGCCGTCCTCGTTGCGGCCGCAGGCCACGGCCGAGCCGTCGCTCCGGAGCAGGACGGTGTGCCGAACTGCGGCGGCGACCTGCGTGTAGGCCAAGGCCCCTGTGAGCGCGGGAAGGTCGCACTGGCCGTCATCGTTGCCGCCGCAGGCCACGGCCGAGCCGTCGCTCCGGAGCAGGACGGTGTGCCATTCTCCGGCGGCGACCTGCGTGTAGGCCAAGGCCCCTGTGAGCGCGGGAAGGTCGCACTGGCCGTCCTCGTTGCCGCCGCAGGCCACGGCCGAGCCGTCGCTCCGGAGCAGGACGGTGTGCCGAGATCCGGCGGCGGCCATCCCGAGGCGCGGCGCGGCCTGCAGAGGGGGGGGGGCTCGGCGGCTCGCGCGTGAAGCCCTTGGCCGCAGCGGGCGGGCGCAGCAGGGCCCCGGAGGACGCGTGAATGGGGGCAGGGAGGGGAAGGGGGGAGGAGGGGGAGGGGGCAGGGAGGAGGGAGAGGAACGAGGGAGCAGGGGGGAGGAGGGGGAGGAGGGGGACGAGGAGGGGGAGGAGGGGGGAGAGGGAGAGGATGAGGGAAGCAGGGCATGGGAGGGAGAGGAACGAGGGAGGAGGGGGAGGGGGCAAGGACAAGCTAGGTGCGCTCGCGTCATATCTGACGTCCTACCCCTCCCTCCCATCCCTTACCATGGCGCTGATTTTCTCTATCCGCGGACGCGTGTCGTAGCGGACCTGTGGCTCCGCGCGCGCGTGCGTAGTGGGTGGTGGTGCACGTGCGTGCGTGCGTGCGTGTGTGCGTGGTTGTCGTGGTGGTGGTGGTGGTGGTGGTGGTGGTGGTGGTGGTGGTTGGTGGTGGTGGTGGTGGTGGTGGTGGTGGTGGTGGTGGGTGGTGGTGGTGGTGGTGTGGTGGTGTGGTGGTTGTGCTGGTGGTGGTGGTGGTGGTGGTGGTGGTGGTGTTGGTGGTGCTGGTGCTGGTGGTGGGTGGTGGTGGTGGTGGTGGTGGTGGTGGTGGTGGCGGTGCGGCGCGGTGGTGGCGGGCGGATGGGCGCGCGAGAAAAAGGCCCGCGCTGGGGCGAGAACGCCATCCTGAACGACGGAGGCCAAACACCGATCCGAAAATGAGGCCCACGCTGCAGCGGGAGCACGATTCGGAACGATTCGTGAGCAGAAATGAGGCCGGCGCCTCAACGAGAGCAACATTTTGGGAAAAAATGACGCCGGCGCCTCAGCGAGAGTCGTTTCCCGGGATTTCCCGGGCATCCTGTGTGTTAAAAAAAAGTACGCGGAAGATGCGCGGCTATCACCCGGACGCCATCAGGAGAAGGATTCGGGAGCAGAAATAAGGCCGGCGACTCAACGAGAGCAGCATTGTGGAAAAAAATGACGCCGGCGCGAGAGCAGCATTTTGGGAAAAAATGACGCCGCCGCCTCAGCGAGAGTCGTTTCCCGGGATTTCCCGGGCATCCTGTGTGTAAAAAAACAATACGCGGAGGGTGCGCGGCTATCACCCGGACGCCATCAGGGGAAGACGGAGAGTATATTCATATTGAGTAATTGTGGAGGGGGGAAGAGGGAGAGGGGGCAGGGAGGAGGGAGAGGAACGAGGGAGCAGGGCTTGAGGAAGGACGCCGCGCGTGAGCAAGGACGGGCGAGGGGGCAGGGAGGAGGTGGTAAGGAGGGAGGGAAATGGGACCAGCGACGAGGCGGAAGGAGGCAGCGCGCGAGGAAGAAGGATGGACCCAAGGGGGGGGGGCAGAACTCGCCGCCTTGCCGCCCGGCACGTGGAAGGGTGGGGGCACGCCACGTGCTGCCTGGTAGGGTCTCTGCAACTCTTCCAAGAGGCCACCTCGCCCAACCACACGCACCACTTTTCGCTACATGCACCGCGCCCCCCCCCCCACACACACCGAGGGGCCCTGGGGATCCCCAGCGCTGTCCACCGGCATCCAGGACGACCAGGAGGGCCACCGAGGCCGCCAAGATGGCACAACGTTGCCCCAAGAGGCGCCCAACCGCCACCCCGAGCATCCCAAGATGCGCTGAGGCTCCTCCTCCTTCTCCTCCTCCTCCCTCCCCTCCCCTCCCCTCTCGCCGCCGCCTTCTCTCCTCCCGCCTCCCGTTTCACGCCTGCCTTCGCGCTCCTTGGGCGGCTGTCGCCACTTCTGTGGGCTACGCGCATCCAGGCAGGCCATCGCCGCTTCCTCGGGGGCATGCCGGCTGCGCAACCGTCGCCAATGTCGTGGGCTCCTGAGAGGTCCAGCTGGGGGGGGGCTGCCCACTGCGCAACCGTCGCCACTTTCTTGGGCTCCTCCCGGGAGGTCCAGCGGAGCGACGCCACACGCGCACCCACACGAGACTTCGCGGCTGCCTGTGAGGGTGGGGGGCTGTCAACTGCGCAACTGTCAAACTTTTTGGGGGCTCCTGGGAGGTCCAACGTCCTGCGTCCTCGCGCAGCCTCCTTTCTCTGCTTGATCATCGTCGTCTTTCCTCCTTTCACCCCCCATGGCCTACTCACTGGCATTATCTCAGATCTGTCCCGTGAGGCACGCAACGCCTAGGCCTCCTCTGTAGCGCGCACACAGAGATCGCGTCGCCTGTGCTATCACCATCCCTTTGGGGTGGGCCCGTCGTTTGCAACTGATTCGACAGGGCCGGGAACGCCACCCGGGAATCATGGTTTTGCGTGTCCCATGCTCCTCGGCCCAAGAATTGTTCCACGAGGGGCTCGGAGGAGCCAAGGGAAACATCCCAGTAGCTCGACGAGGGCTCCACGAAGCCCGCGGACACGGCCCAGAGGCGCGGCGAGGCGAGGCGAGGGCGCCAGAGTCGGGGCACACACGTGTGCCCGTGCCCTTTGGGGCAGGGCGCAAGAGGCCGTGGCCTGAGATCGTGTCCGAATAGACGTCGTGGACGAAGTTCCTCAAGTGAGGGGGCCCTGGGACACACAAATAAATACACACAAATAAAACGATTTCCCATCTTTTCCCGTATGTTCTGGGCTTTTGTCTTCCCCCCCACGTCCCGTCTTTTCCCATATTCTCTGGGGGATCGAAGATTCATTGTGTCTGTGTTTTTTCCCCTCCCGATCAAGGCCCAGGGCAGGCCCAAGAGGCCGTGGCCTGAGATCGTGTTCGAATAGACGTCGTGGACGGAGTTCCTCAAGGCCCAGGGCAGGCCCAAGAGGGCCCCACGAGGCCCACGAAGGCCCACAAGAGGGCCCCAGGAGGGCCACGAGAGGGCCCCAGGAGGGCCACGAGAGGGCCCCAGGAGGGCCACGAGAGGGCCCCAGGACGGCCACGAGAGGGCCCCAGCAGGGCCACGAAGAGGGCAGGCCCGAGCAAGCCCCGCGGGGGCCACGGGAGGGCCCCGAGAGGGCGGAGCCCGGGACGGCCCCGCGAGGGGCCCCAGGAGGTCTCTAGGACGGCCCCCACGAGGCGCCCAGGACGGCACCGCGAGAGCCACGAGGCGGCCGCAGGGTCAGATCGGGCCTGTCCCCCTTCAGGGGGATCTTGGGCGAAAAATCAAAAATGCCCCCAAAATAACCCCAAAATAACCACAATACCCCCAAAATAACCTCAAAAAATAGCCCCACTATGCCAAAAAATAACCCCAAAATGCTCGAAAATGATCAAACAAATAGTCCCCTGATGATTGTTTGACTCTTTTTGGATATTCCTCCTGTAGAGGGACAGGCCCGACTTAACCGCAGGGGTCACCCGGCCTCCCTGCCCAGCCAGGCGGAGGGAAGCCGGGCGACGAATCAAGAAGGGCGCAGGCCTCTGGCGGGTTGATTCTTTCAGCTTGGGCGTTTTCCGAAGTCGGCCGTGTCCCCCTACAGGGGGATGTTGGACGAAAAATTAAAAAAATGTCAAGCAATGCCAACATAGTCCCCGTACTACCCAGACATCCGACGTCTCGATTTTTTCGAGACGCGGGCCCCCGACCTCCCGACCACTTCCCTGGGACCGGATTTTCATCCCGAGTCGTTTCTTGACGGTCCCGAGGCCCGGCGAGGGCCCCGAGAGGCCGAAAGCTACGAAACACCTCCGTCCCGATTTTTCCGAGACGCCCGGTGTCTGGGTATTTTTTCCAACTATACTTGAGCACTCCTGCTGCAGAGGGACTGGCCCGACTCGACGCAGGCCCCCCGGCGGGTCGATCCCTTCCGCTCGGGCGCCTCTCCAAAACTTCCCCGCGGGGGGCCCGAGGCCGCCTCGCCTGCACCGGAGGAGGAGGAGGAGGAGGAGGAGGAGGAGGAGGAGGAGGAGGAGGAGGAGGAGGAGGAGGAGGAGGAGGAGGGGAGGAGGAGGGGAGGAGGAGGAGGCGGGGAGGAGGAGGCGGAGGAGGAGGAGGAGGAGGAGGAGGAGGAGGAGGAGGAGGCGAGGAGGAGGAGGAGGAGGAGGGGGAGGAGGAGGAGGGGGAGGAGGGGGAGGAGGACGAGGAGGAGTGGGAGGGGAGCCGCGCGCTCCCGGCGCGGCGCGCCCCGTGGGCCCCCTCCTCCGCGGCCGCTCTCCGGCGCCTCCCGCCCGCTCTTCGGAGCGCGACCCGCCACGCAGACGCCACGCGTCTGCACGCGCCCGTCCCGCCCCTGGGGCGTCAGGCACCGGGTCCTCCCTCCTCCTCCTCCTCCTCCTCCTCCTCCTCCTCCTCCTCCTCCTCCTCCTCCTCCTCCTCCTCCTCCTCCTCCTCCTCCTCCTCCTCCTCCTCCTCCTCCTCCTCCTCCTCCTCCTCCTCCTCTTTCTCTTCCTCCTCCTCCTCCTCCTCCTCCTCCTCCAAAAAAGCCCAGGGCTTTTTGGGAGCCCATGGTTTTTGTTTCTCTTGCTCGCAGAGCCCGCTGGGGCGTCTCGAGCCCATGTTTTTTTTTTTTTTTTTTTTTTGTTCTCAAGGCGGTCCTGCCGTGGGGCGCTTGGGGGCCACGCGGCTTCTCGCCTGCCCCACGCAGGGGGGGCGCTCGGACCCCATGTGTGTTCACGCTCGTCCCGCTCTGGGGCGTTGGGCACCTCACGCTTGTCCCGCTCTGGGGCGATAGGAGCCCGCGTAGTTTCACGCTCGTCGCGCTCTGGGACACAGAAACCCGCGTGTATTCACGCTTGTCCCGCCTGGGTCGTTAAGAACCCTTGCGTTTTCACGCTTGTCTCTCTCTGGGGCGTTGGGAACCCACATGCTTTCACGCTTGCTCCGCTCTGAAGCGTTAAGAACCCATGTGTTTTCACCCGTGTCCAACTCTGGGGCGTTAGGAACCCATGTATTTTCACGATTGTCCCGTTCTGGGGCGTTGGGAGCTTACGTGTTTCACGTTTGTCCCGCTCTGGGGCGTCAGGATCCACGTATGTGTTCACGCTTGTCCAGCTCTGGTGCATTCGGAACCCACATGGTTTCACGCTCGTCCCGCTCTGAGGCTTCGCTGGGGCAATCGATAGAAATGCGCGTACAACGCAAGGGGTTCGAGCCCCAGGAGAGGAGCAACCTAGTATACAAAACACGCGTCTCGCTGGAGAAATCCTCACCAATTTCTGCAAACGAGGCGTTTCACTTGAGACATCCGCAACAAACGGATCTGTTCACTTTACCCTGTGGTTTATCGATCGGAATTTCACAAGCAAGCGTTTCGCTCGGGACTTCCTCAACATTTAATCCGCCATTTGGCACCAGGGACAACTTACCAACTAAAAAGACAACCGGGGTCTGGAACCCTTTCCTGGAGAAAAAAACCTTAGGCTTTTCCGGGAAAATTGCAGGATCGACCCGCGAAACCGCAAAGGGATGAAGAACTGTGAGGCATGGATACTGCTCAAGGCACTACATTCGGGCGACGGGCAATTGCAATGATGTGCAGTGCCAGGGGCTGTGCTGTGCTGTGCCGGGCTGAAGAGGAGACGCGCCATGCCGCCTCGAAATGCTGTGCTACATTGCACTGTGGATCAGATCGTCCGTGGCGATAGAATCCCGGTCGAACTGATCTGGATCTTAAGCTCGAGCTGCCTGAACGCATAACTCAGATCTGGTCGCAATCGAAACGCGCGGGGCGCTCGACCAGATCGAGCTCAAGATCCAATGAAGTTCGGAAGCGGGACGAACCGAAAGGTGACGAATATGATCAGTTCTGTGCTCGGTTGCATCGTGGATCAAATCTCCCCTGGCATCCGAATCCTGACAGAGCTGAGCTGGGCCTCCAGTTCGAACTGCCTGGGCGCATTGCTCGCCCAAAGCTGATTGCAATCGAGACCTTCTGAAAGGATTATGTTCCGCAAGAGGGCGACATGATAATGGCGAGTCCAAACCGAGGCGAAAGTCATCGAGAAGGGGCGGGCCGACGACGATAACGACGGCGGACCAAAAACGGCCCAAGAGGGCCCCAAGACGTCCCAAGAGGCGCCCAAGACGGCCCAAGAAGGCCCCCAGACGGCCCAAAAATGGGCCCAAGAGAGGGAACACGAACTAAATTCTGAGTTCCGCCCCAAGAGGCCACCAGGATGCCCCCAGAGGCGCCCAGGAGGCCCCAAGAGGACTCCAAGAGTTCCCCAAGAGGCCCCACGAGGCCACCAAGAGACCCAACGGAGGCTCCACGAGACCGCCAAGAGACCCCCCAAGAGGCCTCAAAGCTGCCTCCAAGAGCCCCCCAAGAGGCCTCCCACGAGATGCCAACGAACATCCAATAGTCTTCAGACCCACAACCCAGGCACGGCGGCGGGATGGGCCGAGGAGGAGGAGGAGGAGGAGGAGGAGGAGGAGGAGGAGGAGGAGGAAGAGAGGAGGAGGAGGAGGAGGAGGAGGAGGAGGAGGAGGAGGAGGAGGAGGAGGCCATTCGAGAATTTCTCGTGGTTTCCACCACGGGTGCCGACTGTGGTTTCCAATGGACAGAATCCCCCCCGTCGTTGCTCGCACCGTCCCTTGCATCTGGGAAAGGGTGTTCCTGCTGGTATTTTGCGCCCCGGGGGCCCCACGTGCAACAACGCCGGCTGCCGCTTCACACTCGCAACCTATTCAAGAACCGCGCCCTCGCTCGAGGCGCCCTCGCATTTGACCCAAGAATCGCGTACAAGAACAGGGTGCAGGCCCAGCGGGGAGCATTTCCATGGAAAAATGCACCGGTCACAGAGGGTGGACCAACAACATTTGCTCAAAATCCTTCGGAAAGCACCCCCCCGTGCCAACCTGTCCGACGCCCCTTGCCCGCCCTCCGACGTGCCCCAAGCCCACTCCCTCTCGCTCCCCAACCTCCCCACGCCCCTCAAAAGGACAGCGGTTTCCTACCCCCCCACGCGATCCACCTTGTGAAGGTGCTACTTCTGAGATAAACGCTGATGTTTTCCGTGTGTCGCCTGAGACTCAAGGGCCCTGGGAGCCGCAATGTTTACGGATAAGAAACAAGTGAGACGAGGGGCAAACGCTGGGCTATCCAGCACTCTCGCTTTCACACTGGTTCTAAAATTCTGTTGCCCCTTGTCGATCAAGAAGCACAAACACGGAGTGCACGGCAGCGTGCCAAAAATCAAAACTCCCAGGTCCCGCAGCGGGCGAAATCCGCCGTCTCAAAAACAGCAGACAGCAGTGCAAACAGTTTGCCAAGGAAAAATAAGCAGGCAGCCGATGGGCTGCGTAATATGGTAAAGGCATAGTATGCTCACGTTATCAATATCTCTCCACTTGCAGAAATACATCAAACCATGTACTCCCAGTCGGTCGTCCACGCACTCAGCATCGCATTCGAGTCGTGGTCGCTCTTAGGCGGGGTGTCTTGATGATACATGATAGCTCCATCCATCGACTTCCTGATCTGCGATCCATCCATTCGTTTAGTTAGCGCATCGGCTAGCATATATTTCGTAGGACACCAAGCCAAAGGCAACTTGGATTTAGTAGCTGCGGCTACTTCTTCCACAATCTCGTCCTCCATGAGTTCTCGTAGTCCGATCAAATCCAAAACCATCTACGCTTAGCTGGAAGCTTAACACCTCCTTCTCGGTGAATTGTATCATATAAAGAAGCACGGTCCGTCACACACTGAATCGGGCATAGGGTGGGATCGATGCTGTCGATACTCATCTTCGGAAATAAAAGATTAAGAACTGAAGCGCGCATAACAATGGCTGCTCCCATAGCACCCACTGCACTCCCAGTCTTCGCTGCAAAGGTGCTTCGGCATACCCTGCGAATCGTAGCTGACCTCCAGTCAACCAAAGCTGCCTTGCCCTCTCCGTCCTGGATGATCCTTCTTTCGGCCACGAATAATAAAAATCCCGCCTGGCTCTTAGCATTGAGCCTCTTCGGGGCCTCCGAAGCGTAGGCGGTGCGCATGCGACGTCGGCGCCACCAGGCGGCACCGGCTACCTTGTCGTCTGGTTCGTCCACGTTGGCCCACGCAGCGTCATGAAACACCAGAATGCAGAGCTCGTCCTGCAACTTCGGAATTGTGATGGCGGTCTCGTTGTAGCGCTTGGCCTCGGGCACGATGCGAGTCGTCTCGATCACGTCGGCCACCGTCGGTGACTTCTGTACTCTCTGAGCCATCGAAACTCCTGCAGCTAGGTCTGGTCGGGTCTGCGTAGCGAGCCAACCCAAACTGCCAATCATGCTGCGGTTCTCGGCGATCTCGATCTCCGTGGCAGGGCATCCTAGATCTCGTTTGCGCTCCTTGGTCAACTCGAGAGGTTCTAGCTTCTCGGCGAATACCGACTGGCTCATTCGAATCGCTCCGTCTGGACGCTGGACAACATCCTTCGCGCAAAAGGTGAAATCTAGCCCTTGCCAACCTCCGAACGGAAACAACTTCTTGATTCTGTCATAGCTGGCTTGAGTACTGGAAGCGATCAGTAAATCATCCACGTGAACACATACAATAGCTTGCAGAGTTCCGTCTGAACCATGTCCCACAAATAAAGCTGGATCCACCAAGCCGTGAACTAAGTGGAACTTGTGGCCATCCTTGCTCACGAGCTCAACCTTCAGCAGCGCGTTCTTGAGAGTAGCCCACCACTGTCGTGGGGCGGTCGCCAGTCCAAAAATACCCTTGACGATACGTAATACTTGTCCTGGTTGAAGTCCTGGTAGACCTTGAGGCGGCTGCTCCATGAAAAGAGGCTTGTCTCTGGGCTGCTCCTCTCCCTGCATGAACGCGGACATGATGTCGGCACACACTGGGCTCCAGTCGAAACGCGCCGCCATGATAAAGGACAGTAGCGAACTGGTTCGCGTCACCGTTGGAGCGTCTGTCCGTAGAGCTCCTGTCTGTAGATCTGGATCACGATGTCCTCCAGCACATAGTCGAGCCTTGGCCTTCACCGGCACGGGGTTGGCTTCCGCGCGGATATTGGCATTCTTGTCACGGAACACGAAGCGAGACGGCAGGAAGCGGTTGCTGTCATTCTCGGTTCGGGCTTGTTGAGATTCCTCCAGTGAAAGCGCCTCCACGGGACCGAACTTCTTCCATTCCCCCCAGTGCTCGGCGATGGCCTTTCAGTAGAGTGCCTTGTGTTCCTCGGGGATGTCCTTCCAAGCAATCTCTTTGCCTGGAAGCTTCTTTCTTAGCCTCTCGCTCTGAGCTCGAGCTCCACGAAGCATTACTGCGAAGCTGGAGTTGGTGGTAGCACCCTGGTCGCTGTCGTCGGCGATGCTGACGATGTAGGGCTGCCCCGCTTGCCGAGCGGCTTGTCGTCCAGCGATGCGGTGGGCAGCTTCTTCTTGTTGTGGACTCCCTCGGATGCAATGCGGTACGTCATCGAGGGGACTGTAAACTGCTCGGCGTCGCTGAAACTCCCCGCGGTTCCAGTCGTCGTAGTTGGGTACAGGGTGGTTCTGTACTTGTCCGGGCGTCTGTGTTGAAATCGGGGTAGGCGATGATGGGGTTGCGCCAGCTTGGCCAGATGGGAGCTCCTCTGCAGGCGAGAGCTCAACATCATCACGAACTCCTGACGCATCCTCGGCGGGAGCTCCTGCAGCGTCCGCCCCCATCTCCACAGCTTGTTATTCTTCTGCTGCTGGTGGTGGTCTCCTCGAAGATCTTCGCACTCCATGTCGGCGCTGGCGTCTGTCTCACGACTTAGGCGCTGAAGCTGGTCGAGGGCCTCTCCATGCTGATCGTCTATTCCCGGCCACCAGACTTCTTCAGTAGTAACTGGCCGAATGCGTTCTGGAGCTACGAGCTTGGTAAAACCACCGTGCGATATCCAATAGTTCTGGCCTTGTTCCCCCACGATCACGGCTGGTCCCAACCAGGTGCCCTTCTTGATCGAGCCCTTCTTGAGCTGGCGGTAGTAAAAACAAAAATCACATTGCTCAAGTGGATGGGGATGTACACGAGCACGGCCCAGTAGTGCATTGCGTAACGCACTATCGTTCTGCATATCCATGAAAGCCTTGCGGACGGCGGTCCGCATCTTCAGCTGTCGTTCCATCGGTTGTAGTTCGGCCCCTGCATGCGCTGCGCCATGGTGAGCTCCGTCCACTAGATCAGCTGGCAGTCGCGCGCTCTTGCCGAAAACCCACTCTTCTGGACTGAAACCACACTGACGTCGTAACGCATTCTTGGCCCCCGTGACCACGGAAGCGATGATGCGCATGTCGGACTCACCTGAGGTCGAGGTGTGCGAAATGGTCCTCTCGGCCAACTCCTTCCACCAGCCTCCTTGGCGTTCAGTCCGTCCGTGTTGCCACGCTACGCTACCTGACCGGCCACTGGGACGACCACGCAATGGAACTGATCGAGCATATCCTGAAATACCGAACCAAATCCACGCTCCAAGTCCACGACTGCACTTGCTGGTGGTCCGGCCCAGCTGGTCCATATCTGAGTGAACACGTTAACCAAGACTTCCGAGTGATGACTTTCAATCATGCCCACCACGTGAAACGTCGTACCTAAATCCACCACCGACAAGAAATCCCATGACTGGCCATTCACATCCTTTATCGTAAAACAATCCAAACCAATCTGTTCATTGAAGTCGGCTGCGTGGGAAAGTCTAGCTGGTCTCGCGATCTTCTTCCGAACCTTGCTCATGCACGTCGCGCATCGTAGTGACTTTGCAGCCTTCACTACCTCTGGTCTGCATCCTGAAAATCTCAACGATCTAGCAAGATCCTCGTTACTGGGGTGGCCCAAGTTCTGGTGAAGTTGTCGTGGAGCTGAGAGGTCCTTGCTTGAGCACTCTGAACTTCCAGGTCCAAACTGGATGGCCTTGGCTCCGATGTTATCTGCAACTGGTTCTGGCTTGTACCATAGCTAAATCTTCAGCTTGGCCGTGCGATCCAACTTCGGCTTGATCAAATCCGTGGTGATATCGGCCTTCTCGAAGTCCTGCACCACCGTGTCGGTCTCGAGGTCTACGACCCTTCTTCTGCCTACGCGGCTCCAGTCAGGTCCGTCTGGCAATTCGACCGGTATCTCGGTCAAGTCACCCACGTTCTCGTAGTAGAACCAATCGTCCGATTCGCCACCCATAAGATCCATCAAGTCGCCAATCGCGTAGACTCCGTTCTCCATCATGTAGGTCATGTTGCTGTGCTGGTATGCTTGCAAGACTGCCTTTGCGAACTCTCTGTTATATCGTCCTGCCTTGCGTGTGTAGTGAGCTCCTTCCAGTTGGTGATGCTGGTGACGTCCGTCGCATTGCCTGCTCAGCCGCTTGACGTAGGAGTCATTCGAGACCAAGGGCTTCGTCGGCTTCTTGACCATTCCGTTAGACTGCTGGTGTCGTAGGTTGAACTGGCACATGTCGACCTTCACCTCTTGCACTCGGGGATGCTCTCTTAAACGCTTGGTCTGGGACTGTTTGAATACCTCCGATGTCAACGGATTCTCGAACAAGATGTCTCGCTTGCTGTTCAGCTGCGTCATGCCGATCTCCTCCACGAAGTCTAGTAGGGGACGATCTCCTGACGCTGGCGGCGCAGCTGTTGTTGTTTAGCTTCGCCTCGATAGTTCACCCTGGTAAGTTGTGTCCAGAGTGCGCAGGGATACTCCAATGTGAGGGGCTTCGGCCTGCATGCACGGTAAAGCTGTAGAAGTTCTCTCCGATCTTGAGCGCTCCGCAGGTTGTAGTTGTAGATATGGTCAATGGGCTCGCACACCTTGAGTCCGGCTCGGCTGAACTCCTCTGAGATGACGGCCTCACCTGCGAAGATCTGCATCAAGTCGTAGCTCGGGTCGGTCTTGACGTTGAACACGTCGCAGAGGTCTTGCACGATAGCCTTGCCCCCCGAAAAGAGCGGCTTCGCCGGAGAGGTCCCGAGGAACGTGGTCTGCCACGTCAGGAAGCTGACGGCCTTCTTGATCATGTCCTTGTATGGCTCGACCTGTCCCGGCTTCATCTTGCGCTTTCTCCCCACTTCTTCCTGCTCTTCCCCCATCGGAACTATCATCTCCCAAGTCTGGTCCTCCTCTACGCCGATGTCTTCTGCTGCCATAGCCATGTCGCTGATCGATGAGCTCCTTCTGCTGGTTGGCGGTTCGTCGCTCTCTGAGTCTTCCGAGGGCTGTGGCCCCACTGGTCGTGCTTGTTGTTCCCTTCCTGAGCTCCGACAGGCCAAGGAGGCACTCCTGGTCGCTGAAGCAACCCTCGAAGTCGTAAGCAGCGGTACCTCGTCCTTGGTCTTCTCCTTCTTGACTGCTTTCGGCGTCTGTCCCAGCAACAAACACACGATTTTGTCCTTGAGCATGTCGTCGGTAACTTTCACGTTGCGTTTCCTGGCCAGCTGGGCCAACTCTGCTCGTGACTTCTTGGCGAGTCCTCGGAGTTCTGGATCTGCAGCTCGAGCTCCTCTGCGGCTCTGGCCGTTCTCGATCCGTTGCTCGCTGAGGATCGCGCGCATCTCTCTGCAGCCCAGGCCTTGGAACTCCAGCCCGTTGCTCTCCATCTCCTCCTGCAACTCCACCTTGACCATAGCCCCCAGTGGTAATAGCCGTCTGGGTGCTGGTGCCTCGGCCTGCTTCTCGAGGATCTCCTCCTGGCCGTAGCGGCGCCCGTTGTGGAAGATGATGGCCACCGCCGGATGCCTGGTCATCGCGATGGCTAAGAACACCAGCTTGAAAATCTGCTTCCAGCGCATCAGCGCTACGGTATTGTACTTCTTGTTGGCATTGACATCGAGGATGTTCCAACGCTGGATCCATCCCAGCACGCTGAGAGGCATCCGCACATGAACGGGAGTACTGATCTTGAGAATCACCTGAAACGGTTTGAACCATATTTGGCTGAGGCCGAACGGTTTCATCATTGCCCGTTATGTGAAATCGCACACAGTTTGCTGGTGCTAGCGCTTGCTGCTTTTGCATAGGTTTCTGTACTTCGGCATACTTGTCCGTTTCCCGAAACTGGTCCGTAGAGGGTTCTCGTCCGGGTGCTCCAGAGGCTTTCTGAGGTTTAGTTCGCAGTGATCCGGATCGCTCTCGCAGTCGTTGAAGTTTAGCTCGTACTGATTCGGATCCCTCGTGATGTTGAAGCTGGGCTTCTCGTGATTCGGGTCGCCCTCGATGTGGTTGTCGTGGGGCCCCTTGGGATCCCGTTGGAGGCCCACTAGGAATATCTCGTACCTGTGCTTGGGAGGCCTCCAAAGCATGATGATCCTGCGATCGATGATGATGAGGGCTCCTCTCGAGTTCTTTCCACCAGCGCTGACGGCAGAAGCAGCCCGATCTCTGTCTGGCTGGGGCTCACGTCTGGAGTCATGGTAAAAATGTGAGCCCTGTCGAACTCCAACACATCAAAACTCGGATGTCCGCTCTTGGTCTGCCCGAGCTCGAGGCTGGAGACTCCCAGCTTCTTGAAAGTCATGGTGCTCTCGCCAGCCTCCACCTCATGGTCGCGCGCTGCCCCCAACTGACCAAGAGCTTTCTGCGACAGCAGCGCGGGGACCAGGCGCGGCGCGATGGATATCCTCAGCGCAAAGGGGCGTCCGCGAACTGCGAGCGGCACCAGCGCTCCGATCGTGCTCATGACTGGCTTCCCGGCGCCGAACCTGAAAACTTCATGCTCATCAAACTCGATCAGCTTGAGACCCATCTTCGCGAGCCTCTTCTTCATGTCGTCGCACCAAACCTGTCCTCCAACGGACTTGGCGCAGCGCGAGTCTGGCAACAGCTTGCCGCCACACTGCTGCAGCAGCTCCTCTTTCGTAGCCATGATAACGTTCACGCTGCCCGTGCCGGTCATCAGCACGTGATTGTTGATGAAGAACGTCTGCTTCTCGATCTGCTTCTCCTTGCTGTTCCAGCTCGTGAGGTACTGCTCTGATCCCTGGTCGTCTTTGTCATGGTCGTCGGGGGTCGTCATGTGCGCCTTACTTGGCGCTCCTGTACACTCGGGGTCACCCTTCCAGTGTCCCAGCTTCTGGCACACTGCGCAGAAATCCTCTAGCTTGCTTGGCGTCTTTTTGCCTGTCCTTTGCTCGGGCGAGCATCTTCTCTAACTTGTACACTTCGGCCTCCGCTTCCTCGTGCTCCTCGAGCAATTCCTCCGGCAGGTCATCGTCGTCCACCTGGGTCTCGTATACCTCGAGATCCTCCTCCTCATCGTTCTCGGTGATGTGAGCTCCCCATCGTCGAGGTCGTGCTGGCGGACCTCTGGGCGCTAGTGGTGTCGTGGAGGCTGGCCTCCAGGGGTTGTGCTTGTCCAGTGCTTTGGCGTCCTTCACGTCAAGCAACGTCTGCTTCTGCAAAGGCTTGAGCTCGTATTTATTCTGATTAGCATTCAGCACTCCAGCTTCTCGATCTGGCGGCAGGCCAAGCCACCACATGAACAACCACGCCAGCGCTTGATCTGGGAACTCGATCTGCATTGTCTTAAGTCTCGAGACCTGCGTGTCGAAGCGGTTGATATAAGCCCTGATCTCCTCGCCGATGTCGCGGCGCACGCGTGTGAAGAAAGTCTTGAGCTCGGACCCAAGCTCCATCACCTTTTCGTCGTCGAACTTATCTGCTAGGAAGTCGAGCAGCACTTGGACCCCTTCGTCATTCTGAAGCTCCGTCGGGTCGAGGTCCTCTGCATGAATCCAGGCGTCGCCCTTCAGTTCTGCGTAGAGCTCCGCGGCCTGCCTCTTAAGGGGCAGTCTGGTCCTTATCTTGAATATCGCCACTCGCCTCCTGTAATCCTTCATTGTCGTCGTCTGCGGGTCGAAGGCGGGAGCTGGAACGTGGGGTCCTCCCTGCGGCTGGGCACGTCCTTCCTCACCCTCTGCCATGTCCTCGGACGGGTCCACCTTGGGCGCCATCCTTGCCGGTCCTGCTGTAGATCTCTTGGTAGATCTCCGGCCTTGTAGTGATTAATGTGTGGCGGTCTATCCGCCGAACTCGATGCCGCGAGCTGCTTCTCGTCGATGCTGCGAAAACGTGTCCGTGGGTCGAACAGCTCCTGCTACCAATGTGAAGGTGCTACTTCTGAGATAGGCGCTGATGCTTTCCGTGTGTCGCCTGAGACTCAAGGGCCCTGGGAGCCGCAATGTTTACGGATAAGAAACAAGTGAGACGGGCAAACGCTGGGCTATCCAGCACTCTCGCTTTCACACACACCCCCACGCTTATTGAGAGACCTGGAGTATTTGACGAAGACCGAACAAGAAATATCCAGGCGAAGCGCCTAACAATGGGCAGTTGTGCAAACAAACGCCGCTGTGAAAGAACACCCTCGGTGGAGCTCACCACGGGGACGCGAAGCGCGCGAAGGGAGCGCCGACATGCACTGGTCACGGGGGGTGGATCAACAGCACTTATTGAATGAGGACCGAACAAGAAAATAGCCAGGCGAAGGACCCAACAATGGGCAGTGGTGCACACAAAACCGCCGCTGTGAAAAAAAACACCCTCGGTGGAGCTCACCACGGGGACTTCGATGGAAAAATTCACGGGTCACGGGGGGGGATCAGCAGCACTTATTGAATGAGGACCGAACAACAAGTAGCCAGGCGAAGGACCCAACAATAGGCAGGTGTGCAAAACAAACGCCGCTGTGAAACAAAACTCACCGCGGGGACTTCGATGGAAAAATGCACGGGTCACTGGGGGGGATCCACAGCACTTCGTTAACGAGGACCGAACAAGAAAACATCCAGGCGAAGGACCCAACAATGGACAATTGTGCAAAAAAACGCCGCTGTGAAACGGAACACCCTCGGCGGAGCTCACCGCGGGGACTTCGATGGAAAAATGCACGGGTCACGGGGGGTGGATCAACAGCACTTATTGAATGAGGGCCGAACAAGAAAATAGCCAGGCGAAGGACCCAACAATGGGCAATGGTGCAACAAAAAAACGCCGCTGTGAAACGGAACACCCTCGGCGGAGCTCACCGCGGGGACTTCGATGGAAAAGTGCACGGGTCACGGGGGGTGGATCAGCAGCACTTATTTGAATGACGAACAAGAAAATAGCCAGGCGAAGGACCCAAGAATGGGCAGGTGTGCAAAAAAACGCCGCTGTGAAACAAACACCCTCTGCGGAGCTCACCGCGGGGACTTCGACGGAAAAACGCACGGGTCACGGGGGGTGGGAATCCACAGCACTTCTTTAACGAGGGCCGAACAAGAGAAGATCCAGGCGAAGGACCCAACATTGGGCAGTGGTGCAAAGAAAACGCCGCTGCGCAAAAAAAAAAAAAAAAAAAAAAAAAACTCGGCGGAGCTCACCGCGGGGACTTCGATGGAAAAATGCACGGGTCACGGGGGGGGAATTCTTATTGAATGAGGGCCGAACAAGAACATATCCAGGCAAAGGACCCAACAATGGGCAGTGGTGCAACAAAAAAATGCCGCTGTGAAAAAAAACGCAAAGACGCAAAGAGGACAGATTTCTGCCCTCGGCGGAGCTCACCGACTTGGGCGCCTCAGAAGGAGGCGGCTTCTTAGAAGGAGGCGGCTTCTTAGAAGGCGCCGGCCCTGCGTCTATAAAAAAAGTCTCGCGCCTCCTAGGAAGCAGGGGTGCTTCTAGGAAGCCCTCCCCCCTCCCCCCAGGAGGAGGAGGAGGAGGAGGAGAAAAGGGAGGAAAGGGAGGAGGAGGAGGAGGAGGAGGAGGAGGAGGAGGAGGAGGAGGACCCCCCCTCTGCGCGCGGCTGAAGTCGGGCCGGACGGAGGCCGGGCGAAACGAATCGGATATCGGCGAAGCGCCCTCGGCGGAGCGCCCCGCGGGGCCGCGACGAGCGCGCGCGCGTGGGCGGGAGCGCCGCCGGGAGGCGGAGAGCCGCCGTGCGGGCGCGGCCGCGGGGGGGGCGCCCGCAGGGGGGGGGCGCGGGGGCCCGACGAGCTGGGCTGCATGCAGGTCGGGCCGTGTCCCCCCTACGGAAAAATTAAACGTACCCAGAACGTGCCCCCAAAAATAAAGCATGCCCAGAAAAGTTAAACATGCCCAGAACGAAACACTGGACGGCAAATCAAATCAAACATCGTGGACGAAAAACTGAAAGGGGATCTTGGACGAAACATAGCCCAGGGGATCTTGAACGGAAAAATAAAGAATGGAAAATAGTCCAGGGGATCTTGGGCGAAAAATGAAAGAATACCCAGAACATGCCCTAAGAACTACGCAGGCGTGGTCCAACAACAGTCCCGAAAAATTAGGGAAACACCCCGGAAATGCCCCGACTGTGTTTGGACTATCTGTGCGCATCCCCCCTTGCAGAGGGACAGGCCGGCCCGACTTGAGGCTCCATGCTGATGCAGTCCGTTGCGGCTGACAGGCGCAGGGACCAGCGGGGATCTTGGACGAGAAATAAAAACATGATACCCAACACAGTCAAGAATCGTGAAACATCGTCCCCGTACGATTTTTTGAAACTATTCTGGAATACTCCTGCCGTGGAGGGACAGGCCCGACTTGACGCAAGCCCCTGGCGGGTCAGAAAAATTAAGCATACCCAGAACATGCCCTACAAATACGCAAACGTGGTCAACAAATCGTCAGCGGAGGGTCCCAAGAGGCTCCCAGGAGGGCCCCGAGAGGCTCCCAAGAAGCCCCCAGGAGGCCCCCAGGAGGTCCCTAAGCTCCCCCGCAGAGGCCCCCGAGAGCCCTCTCGAGAAACCCCAAGAAGCGCCCATGAGGACTCCGACCCAAAACCCAAGCACGGTCGCGGGATTGGCCGACGGCCATTTGATAGCTGGCATACGCGCCGCGTCACGACTTTCGATGCTGCGCACCACTTCGGCAAACTCCCAGGGAGCGGCCGGTGATGCGCCGCCGGCGTTCTCGATGGGCTACATGCTGATGTAGTCTATTGCGGCTGACAGGCGCAGGGAGCAGCGGGAGCAGGCATGCGGGCGCGGCCTGCGAGCGCAGCCACTGGGGCCTTCGGTGGAGCTCCTGTGAAGGGTGCGCCAAAGCGAGGGGGGGGGGGGGGGCGGCATGCGAACGCAGCCGCTGGCGCCTTCGGTGGAGCTCCCCAGGGGCCACGAAGCTCGTGTGAGGGGTGTGCCAAAGTGAGGGGGGTGGCGGCATGCGAACGCAGCCGCTGGCGCCTTCGGTGGAGCTCCCCAGGGGGCCACGAAGCTTCTGCGAGGGGTGCGCCAAAGTGAGGGGGGGTCGGCATGCGAACGCAGCCGCTTGGGCCTTCGGTGAAGCTCCCTATGGGGCCACGAAATATGTGAGGGGTGTGGGGGTGTGCCAAAGTGAGGGGGGTGACGGGAGGAGGGAGGAAGGGGAGGAGAGGGGAGGAGAAAAAGGACGAGATTAAGAGAGGTGGGGACGCGGGGGCCGTCTCTTCAAAACGAGGACCCAACACTACAGGGCGGTTGTGAAAAACTGAATGAGGTGGAGGCCGAGGACGAGAAGTGGAAGAAGGAATGGGTCAGGAAGGAAAAGGAAAGCACTAGCAGGAGCTGGATATGGAATGGGGATCAAGAGAGAGGATGAAGAGCGCGAGGATGACGAAGCAGCGGCAGCACTCTGATTGTTGCCAGCGCATCTCGTTCACGTTGCCTGCTTGCCAGCCCTCCCCGATGCTTCTCGAGGTAAGTTCCCTTAGGATTCCAAGTGCGATCGCAGGTCCCATAGTTCGCCCTCCAGTGCGGTTCGCCTCATGGCGTCACTTGCTGCCCGCTGTTGAAAGGTAATCAAACCTCCTTCCAATCCTGACGCTGCCGTGTGCAAAACCTCCCGCCATGAGCGTTCGGGCGGCGTTGAGACCCCAGAACGCGATGCACCAAGGGCGGCGGCGGGTGCAGATGCAGAGGAGGCTGCAGCGGAATATGCAGGTGCAGATGCTGACGCGGGCCAAGGGACCAGAGAGGAATGATCGAACGAAGCCAGGCTTGTGGTGCTACCATCTGCCATCTGCGAACAAATACGCGCGAGGTGTGCCCTGCCGGCTGGCCGAAACAGGCAGCAACGCGCTGCCTCGGGACAGCAAGGCTCGCTCTGCTACAGCGCACAGGAGGGTAGAGGAGGCAAAGGACACGTACAGTGCCATACGTCATGCCCAAGTTTGTGAATCCATCTCGATGCTGGAAGCTGTGCTGGGCCAGAGTAGATGGTCGAAGGAACGCAGCGCATCGCTGATGCATCGCCGACGTCGGGATGGAAATCCTGCTCCGGATCGCGCCGATGCATCGCCAACGCGTCGGCAATGCGGCGCGACTCTCCGAGTCCATCTGCTCTTAAGTCGGGCCTGTCCCCCTACAGGGGGATTTTCGACGAAAAATGAAAATACCCCCAAAATAACCAAAAAATAATTCAAGCATGGTCTGGGGACTATTTGTTGCATATGTTTTGGCCTTTTTGGGGTACTTTCGGGGTACATTTTATGATTCGACGAAAATCCCCCTGTAGGGGGACACGCCCGACTTAAATCTACTCTGGCCTGGGCGGCCTGGAAATAAAGCAGAGGAGCGAACGGCCCAAGCATACGGCGACGTGATGATATCTTACATCACTCCGCGGGCCCAGCGTCTTCCCCGCGACCATTGAACGATATCTGACTGTCCGGGAGCCCGACAAGGGCCGAAAACAGGCCCAAGATTAGGTCGGGCCTGTCTCCCCCCACCTCGGCCCTTAGTGGGCCTTGGAAACGACAGGGCCGTTTTGTTACCGGTTCCGTCTTGCCGTTTTTGGTGCCGGTTCCGACGCCGTTTTTTCACCGGTTCCGTCGCCGCTTTTTGACCGGTTCCGGCTCTGGCTCCAATCCTGGAGCCGTTTTTTTGCCGTTTCCGGTCGCCGTTTTTTCTGGAAACGATGACAAAACGGCCCTGCCGTTTCCGGGGCCCACACAGACCTCGGCCCTCCTCTCCCTCGGCCTCTCCGGCCCCCCCCCTTCCCCCACCTCCCCCCGCCTCGGCCCTCCCCCCACCTCGGCCCTCCTCTCCCTCGGCCTCTCCGGCCCCCCTCTTCCCCCGTGCCGCCCCCCCTCTCCGGCCCTCCTCTCCCTCGTCCTCCGCCTCCCCCCCCTCCCCCCCACCTCGGCCCTCCTCTCCCCCGGCCTCTCCGGCCCCCCTCTTTCCCCTCGCCCCCCACCTTCCGCACCTTCCGCGCGGCAGGTGCCGCGCCGCGGCGGACGCCGCCGCCGCCGAAACCGCTGCTGCGGCCTCGGCGGAAGCCGCAGTGGCGGCCGCGGCGGCGGCCGCCGCGGCGTGGAAGGCGGCCGCCCCCCTCCGCGGCCGCCCGCCGGCGCGGCCGCCCCACCCCCCTCTCGCAGGGGCCGCGGCGGCCGCCGGAGCGACGCGCTCGTGTGCGCCAACGCGGACGGCATGCACCGCCGCAGGAGGAGGAGGAGGAGGAGGAGGAGGAGGAGGAGGAGGAGGAGGAGGAGGAGGAGGAGGAGGAGGAGGAGGAGGGGAAGGAGGAGGAGGAGGAGCACGAGGTCAAGAGAACGATCTCGTCTCGACGCTCCGCGCCCCCTCCACCATATTCGAGGGCACAGGAACTGTGCACAGACACCGACTCTGGCCAGGCCCATCCTGAGCCCAGGCTCGGTGCCGTACGCCCTCCTGCCTGGGCCAGGAAGGCATCCGCACCGATCCTGGGCCAAGGAGGGGCCCTGCCAGGGTCGGTGCACGTGCAGAGTTCTCTTCGCCCGACAGATGGGGGGGCCTCCGACCTGCTCGCGGGAGGGCGCGGAACGGCCGCGGCCCGACCGACTGCCGCGTACTCCTCGCACGGCAGCTCCTCACCGCGCGGTCGCTGCCCGGAGGCCGCCTGCCTCCTCGGCGTTCGCTCGACGCGGCTCCTCGCGCTGCCCCACGCCCGTCGCTAGGCTTCGCTCACGCGGCTCCCTCGGGGCTGCCTGCCCGCGTCTCTCTGTGTCTGTGGAGGCCGCCAGGCTTCGAGGACCCCGAGTTCGACAAGCTCGCCTGGAGGGCATGTCATGAACGCCAGTCTTCTCTCGCCACTTTGGCTGCCGCATGGCTGCTGGGCACTCGTGGCCGATTCTCCTTGGGCACCGCCTTCGGCAAGTGCATCCTGGGGAGCCCGAGCTGCTGACGTTCCATGCGCGTGGCCGCTCGTCCACGCCGCGCCTGCGTCTGAGTTGGCACATCAGTGGACGTGACACCGGTGCTGACTTGTGATGCGTCCCCCGCGCCGTTTTGGCTGCGTGTTGTGCCCTGTTCCGTGCTGAGCTGGGGGCCCCGCTCGCTTCGCTGTGGTTTCCTTTTGCCTCGGCGCGGCCCGCCGGAGCTTGCACGGCGTCCGACTCGCTCTCGCGCGCCCGCATACCAAAAAATACCCCCCACCCGCCCATCCAGAAAGGATGCCCATGAGAGTTGACGGGGGGAGAGAGGAGGAGACACGCATTGTCAAACAGCGAGGAAGGCTTGGGAGGCTCCGTGGCAGTCTCGAGCCGTCTTGGAGCGGTCTTGGGGCCGCTGGGAGCATCTTGGGAGCGATCTCGAGCCATCTCGAGCCAGCATGTGCCGCCAGACATGAGGCCAACGAAAACTATACTTTTAGGAAACCTGGGCCCGCTTCTCTAGGAGGCCTAGAAATTGGCACCAACACCAGCTCAGGGGGTTGCCTCCACATGCGGAAGCTGATCCTAGATTTCGGTGCTGGCGGTAACATTTCGGCCACCTTGGAAGCCAGCATGTTGCCACCATCGCCGCGATCGGGATCGCCTTCCCTCGGTGGTGGCACACCGGTGTGTGGCACACCGCCGATCTTGGTGTTGGTGCCAACCTCTAGGCCCAGAAACTTCTCAGAAAGGGTGGAGGGAGGAGGGAGGAGGGAGGGGGAGGGAGGAGGAGGAGGGAGGAGTGGAGGAGGAGGAGGAGGAGGAGGAGGAGGAGGCCCTTGTAAGACCCCAACCTCTTGGCGTGGTGGTCCCTCCGAGCTTCTCAGAAACTTCTGAACGCAGGCCTGGGCCAGCTGCTGCCGTGGCCGCAGGGGCGACATCGCGCCCGGGAGGCTGGGCCCGCGGTCCGCCGGGCCGGCGGAGAGACGCCGGCCCGGCTCTCCGGGAGGAGGCTTCTGCACCAGATGCTCGACCGCGCGTTTGCTCAGAGCTGGTAGAGATTCGGCCAGAGCGTCCAGCTCGCTCCTCCTCCTCCTCCATCACTCCTGACCTTCCCCTGATCCTCCTCCTCCTCCGAACCTCCTCCCCTCCTCCAGAACCCTCTCCTCAACCCCCTCCTCCTCCTCCTCCTCCTCCTCCTCCTCCTCCTACCTCCCCTCGCCTCCTCCTCCTCCTTCCTCCTCCTCCGCCTCCCGGTCCTCGATCCTCGATCTCCTCCTCCTCTCCTCCGATCCTCCTCTTCCTCCTCCTCCTCCGCCTCCTCTCCTCCTCTCCTCCTTCCTCCTCTCCTCCTCCCCCTCCTCCTCCTCCTCCTCCTCGGTCCTCGATCCTCGATCCTCCTCCTCCTCCTCCTCCTCCTCCTCCTCCTCCTCCTCCTCCTCCTCGATCCTCCTCCCCCTCCGCCTCCTCGATCCTCGACGGCGCTCCTTCGCACCCGCCCGCCCGAGGCGCCAGGGCCCTCCCCGGGAGCGCCCTCGCGCACGGCCGCTCTACGCCTCGCTGTGCGCACGCGGGGCACCCGCCGCCCTGGAGCTATGCGGCTCCCATCGCACTTAACAGACCACATCCCAGAACTGAAGGAGGAGGAGGACGACGACGAAGAGGAGGGGAAGGAGGAGGAGGACGAGGAGGACGAGGAGGAGGAGGAGGAGGAGGAGGAGGAGGAGGACGAGGAGGAGGAGGAGGAGGAGGAGGAGGAGGAGGAGATGAAGAGGTCTGGACTCCTTCCCTGGGACCAGCTTTTCCTCCCGAGTCGTCTTCTGCCGGCCCCGAGGCCGGGCAGAGAGGGCCCCCCAGGCCCAGAAAAGTGTCGAAAGAGGGTCGAAAGAATGTCGAAGCAGTGCCGGACGAGTGTCTCCCAGTCTCCCAGGGCCCGGCACGTGAAAGCCATCGAGTTTCAGTAAGTACTTCTCTTCTGGGGCTCCAGATTCTTTCTGGCGGTCAAGGCTAAAGTAGGTTGGAACATCATAACCTTGGAGCCCACACTTCGCTCGGGCATGTCCCCCTACAGTTAGGATGGTCCAACCTACTTCAGCCTTGATCACCAGAAAGACGTTCGAGCACCAGACAATTATCCAAAAACTCTAGGGTTTTCACGTGTCGGGCCCTGGGAGACACTCGTCCGACACTGTTTCGACACTCTTTCGACACTTGTCCGGGTGCTCAATTTTTTTGCTGGGATGTGGTCCTTAAGTGCCCCCCCCCTGCACCGCCCTCCCTGCAGGCGCGTACTTACGTTTGGGACATCCCGCGCCCCCATGTTGGATCCCCCACTTGGCGCCTGCACAAGCGACATTACATGCCAAATGCACGCGTGGCAACCGCCTGTTCGGTAACCCCCATTGCGCACAAGCCTTCTTACGCGCGCATACGAAAGAATACGCGCCACACGCTCGCGTGCCGGGCGCATGTCCGATGCGCCACTGCGCGCAAGAATTTGCACGTCGGAAGCATCAGGCGCCCCCGTGCTCACGCGTGCCAGACGGATGCTCGACCCACCTCCCCTGCGCGCACGTACTTCTACGTGTGACGAATCTGGCGCTCCCAGGCTGGATACCCCCCTCGGCGCCTGCACACGTGAAAGTACGTGCCAGACGCACCAGTGCCAGACACCTGCTTGATAAACGCCTCCGCGCACGCACGCTTGCACGTGAAGAGCATGGCACCCCAATGTTGGATCTCCCTCTTGGCGCCTGCATGCGAGAGAAGGCCTCCGAGACGCGGGCGCGCCGGACGCATGCTCGACCTCTCCTCGTCAGGGCACGTATCTCCACGCGTGACGAGCCCGACGCTGGATGCCCCCCCCGGCGCCTGGCGCCCTATACGCGTGACGATACGCGCCAGACTACGCCGAGGCGCGTGTGGAGGAGCCTCCGCTGGCGCGCAGGGCGCCCCGCCCTCGCGCACCTGCTACCCTCCTCTTCCTCCTCCTCCTCCTCCTCCTCCTCCTCCTCCTCCTCCCCCTCCTCCCTCCTCCTCCTCCTCCTCCTCCT